GGATTTGATGTGGGGGGGGCACATGGAGAGTGGCTTTTTTCCCATGTATATTTCTCTCTCTGTTAGTTTTCTTTAAAAAATAAAATATTGAAACAGAATATTTAGATGTTGCAATGATGGAGTGTTTTCTTTTGCTTCTTTATATGTTAATAATAACCTTATACTTTGAAAACATTTAAACCCTTAATATTAATATACAAGGATGTTCATTGCAGTGTTATTTATATTTAGAAAATATTGGAAAGAACCTAAGTGCCCAAAAAGGATATTTGCCAAATTAGGGTACATTTATGTGTTGGATTTATACAATCATTGACATCATTTTCTGGAAAATATTCCAGAGCGTGGGTAAATACCTCTTATATAATAAAAGAAAAAAAATCCTTATAAAGCAGTGTGAATCTCATGCTCACAAGATGATTTCCATTCAAAAATCCCATAGTGGGCAATTGGTATTTGTGCAACCTTATTTTCTTCATGAGTCATCTGGATGGCTAGTTCAGTGATTGCAATTGTAACTAAATCTTTAGTATGTTCTTTCTGATGCTTCCTAATCTAACCGCCAATCTGCACTATCTCTACACACCTTTTCTTTCCACCAAAAATAATCACCTCATAATGGGATGTACCTTCCACCTCACCCAAATGCTCAAGTACAATAGCACTTTGCAGAACAAGTTGCCAATCTCTCAAAATGTAGATCTCAGTGGGAAAACCCAGGGGATTTTTAGATGAGTTTGGGTCTGCAGTGCTTGAGAGGGGTACGGGGAGCAAGCATAGCAAGTGACTGCCTCCCAGCCACTTCTGAGAAGACTTGATTCAAGTACTTCCTTATCCTCCCTCTTCCTTCTGCCTCCGCTCTCCTACTGCAGCACGGTGGTCAGGACAGATCCTTCTGCTGTTTTCTTTGTTCTGACCACTCCCCAAACACTGAGACAGCAACGACTAAGATGCCTTACCCATTCCTGTCTTGAACTCTCCACCAGTGGATCTCAGAACTGTCCAGCAGGCAGTACTCTTCATTGCATCGCAGCGCGAGTTCCTGGGGATCGTTGGTCTGGTAGTCATACAAGGCGATGACCACGGTTTCTTCAGGTTCTGGAAGTGACCGCTGGGGAAGGGAGACAAGAAGATCAAGCAAAGACACTAAAAGGAAGTGAAATACAAAGCAAGAGTAGCAAACCCCTGAGCTGTAACTTGCTCCTGGGCCTATGCCCGGTCAACACCAGTTCCTACAATCCACTGAGATATCTATGGTGATACTCTGCCTTCTTCTCGTTGGCTTTCTTTACGAGTTAGAATTACTGCGCTAAATATGACACAAAGATGTCAATACCTGGAATTCATCACATTTCTCAGTCTATGAGGTAAACTCTAACCACAATGAATTCGAAGCAGCCACATACTTTTCACAAAAGTCTGCAGGTTTCTACCTGCACCATGTCACACGCTGTAGCCTGTCTCCAAAATCATCACACTCTTGGTGAAGGAGATGCAGCCAACGGTAAGTCATTCCGCCTGAGCTTTGCCAATATGATGTGTGGGTTTGTCCAGGTCCATGGAATCGTGGGCTACCGGGGCTGGAATTCCCTTGACAGATCATTTAATCCATTAATCTTTCATTTAGGATGGGGAAACTGAGGCCCAGGTGGGGAAATGGACATGGCCAATTTTGCACTTGAATTAGTCTCTATGCCCTCCACTCTAGCACTTGGACACCCTTCTTTCTCTTGTCGACTCTCTTGCTGAGGTCTCTGCTCCTCAGCACCTTTCTTAGGATGAGATGTTGAGGATGTGAAGAAAAGACCAGAAAGCAGAACATCAGCAGAGTTCAGGATGGGCACACCTGCTCTGGGCTGGCAGATTTTGTGAGACAGTAAATATGGGATATGATTGAGTTGCTGGCTACAGTGTGATTTAGAGTTGGGAAATCACAAGTTCTCTAAGTACATTGAAGCATTTGGTGACATAAAAATACTGGAGCTAAAAAAAAGGAAAATAAGTCTTGTGATACTGATGTAGTAGATCATCCCAGCTGAGCCCAGATGGGAATTTAAAGTCCAGACATTTGTGGATCTTAGGAGGAGGTGGTATATTGGGTAGTACAGACAGGAGTTGAAGGCCTGACACTTTTGCCCTAAGAGCTACTGCTGGGAGGAATTGTGTTCAAGGTCACTTGAAGGAGACAAAGAAGAGCTATGGCATGGCATTCCTCTCTCTAGAGGTCAACTCACTGGTTAATCCCTACGAAGAGAGAGGTCAGATCAGAGTCCTGAAGTTATCGTGGTACATTTCCATAGTACATGTTGGGGCATGTTGGACGTTTTTGGGGGTATTTCAAATGTCACAAAGTTTGAGGTATGCTACAGGCATTTAATGGATGAAGGACAAGAATGCAAAAATCTATAGGGTCCCACATTTCCTATCACTTTTAAATGTCCTGGTAGACATTCATGTGGTGAGAAAGCTGATGATACAGTGAATATAACATATAAGAAGATCCTAGATACTACCTCTACCCTTTGCAAAGTACTGGGTTTCCCAGGAATGCAAATACCTTGTACATTGAGGGAAGATTATACTTTGTTCAGTTCAGAACTTTTCATTTTGGAAAATCATATCACAGGTAGTAATACTGTATTTGAGTCACCAATTCAACATCCCTGTATCCGTTGCAGTTGAGCTGCCAAATTCAATGGGATCCTACTTACAGGTGCAAGCAATTGATTATTTCATTATGTGTTCCTGTGTAGTCATGCACCAATATTTATACACAAAATCACGTTATGTTTCATAAATTATATTTTCTTTCCTTTTTAGTTTTACAGTTATAGCAATTATTGATTCTTTTAAAAAGTATGTGTTTACATAAGTTGTATATTTATGAATTTCTTTTC